ATTTATTTCAAATGCGAATATGCCGGCCGTGACTCTCGATGGGAAACTGCTGTTGAAAACGGCCGGATCGATGCCACTGCGTCCTGGAGATGGGCTGAAAAGGATGTCAGTCCAGAAAAATAATTGAGGATGGCACATTTTGGGGTTGTCTGAGAATGTTTTTCCAGCCTCATCGTCTACTGCCCTGGCTTTCTGTACGCTGCCCTGGATTTAAGAATTCATTCAAGCACCACGTTCTGCTGAAGGCTCTGCATGTAGGTTCTGAAAATAACTTGTAAATTACACCTGAAAGTACATTTAATTGGCACTAGTGTAAAAATATTGTGCACAAACACTGTTCCTATATGCACAGCAAATTTTATTTTTGCTGTAACTTAAGTAGAAAATACGCATGATTAATAAGCTCAGGTACTGTATATAGATCTCTTTATTTGTAATATAACCAGGTTGTTTCACATCCCACACAGTGAAAATTAGAAAGGAGGTTGTATGTCTGTTTCAGAGTCTTTAAACACAGTAGTAGCTTAAAGACATTCTCTAATTGTACAAGAAATCCATCATGAATTCATTCTACTTTTTTTTGTAAGGCAACCCTAATTGAGTTCTCTAATTGAGACCCACATCTTAGTCAGGACTGAATCATTGCATTTGGCATAAGAAGAGGTTGTGAAGATAATGAATTGCCTTAATGGAAGACAAGTTAGGTGATATCTCCCATGGTCAAAATGTCATGCCAGTGTCAGAGCAAAACAGATCACCTTCTTTTCAGACTGCAAAGGAACAAGTAATAGGTTTATTCCATGCTGAAAAAAAGAAGAAAGAGAACACAACGTTTCGGCTGTGGAGCCTTCTTTGGGTGTCAGACAGTTCTTTTCAGACTGTTTGAAAGCTGTATTATTTCATTGCATGATAATATTTAAATATACCTCCCAAAAGACAGAAAGGTCAGTTTATGTGAAGGTCCTCATAGTCTCATAAAATCACCCACGCTAAAGTATTATGTACAATTTATTAAAAATATTGAATATATAAAGCCAGATATATAAAACGTAGTTGCATACAAAGTAGTTTACATTTTGTAAAATTCTCCTAAAAGTATCATAAACATATATTTAAATACAGAGAAAGCTGCAGAATATTGCCAAGATTCTCCTGATGATCTGAACTATTAAGACACAGTATCTAGAATTCTTTTAGTCACTTTTTAGGTGAGGGATTGTAGTCGAGATTTTACAAGTTGACAAGGAAGTAGATACTGTATGTTCACCAATAATCAATCTTGAATTGAGAACACAGAATTGGTCATTGAACATCCAAGTTTATAGTCTTTGATAGAAGGGTCATAAAATGGGATTAACTTTTGTGTTTTTTTTTATTTGAGAATAGGAGAATAAACAGTGTGAAGTCTTTTTAAGCAAAATATATTTTTTAAAACTGGCAGCACTTTAATTTTACATAAAATACTTGCCTGAAAGGCACACAAGCACAGACTATGGTCAATTTCCTATTTCATATGCATCATAAATAAATTTTTAAAAATGAAAAAAAATAGGAGAACAGGAATACATATTAATGTTGTAAATCATTAAAACTACACCCTGGAGTATATCTTTCATACCTGATGCACAGGCTTTATGGTGATGTGAATATGCCAGCTCTTGCAGCGACTCAGGCAACTGTGTGTACAAGTGCCACGCACAAGAGAGAAACTCCAGGAAGACTGAAGAGTGGTTTCAGAGGAAAATGTCGAAACAGCCGTACCAGTAGGGTAGATATTATAAGCATGAAGAAATTCGGTGAGGGTGTTGTCTCAGTTTGAGGGCTTCGGAGGTACAAATAGAAAGTCAATTCCATGCTGAAAAACAGATCCAAGAATCCAGGCGTTTTACTGCACAAGATCTCAGACTAAATCAAGATTTGAATCCGAAACGCAAAAAGCAAAGTCGAAAGGACCCCGTATTACCCCGAGAAATACTTGCATATTAATCCCTTCCACTGACGTAGTAGCGTCATTTATGCGAATAACATAATTAAACAGTAGCGGAGACTGAGAGTTGTAAAAGAGCTTGGGCAACTTGTTATAACAAGACACTACTCAAATGAAGTAAGTCGTAAGTACTTCGAAAGCACCAATTCGTGACTGTCTCTGAAAGATCCATGGGTGCCTGTTCTGTGTGTCTCTGTGTGTGTGTCAAGTCATTTCGCTGTGGCTCAAAGCTTGAGTTAATATATATATATATCATACTCTAAAGTACAGTTCATTACAAAACAAGTGCACTTCGGGCAGTACAGCTGTTTACACAAACTGAGCCGATCTTATTCCCATCCCCTGTTAACTGCATGCCCAACAGTGTAAGGTGAAAATAGGTTATTTCTATATTTTCTTTCTAAGTTACATAAACTAAATTATTTTGTGAAAAAAAAACAACACAAAGGGCAAGCGTAGTATGGCTAATATAGTTCCTGTTTGGCTCCAGTTGTGTGTGTTTTTTTGTACATCACATTGGAAAACACGTCTCTGTTTCGCAGATCAGGGGGTGGAAACAGAAATATAACTCACGATAAATTTATACTTGAGTAACCCGAATGTATTAAGCGGTCCAATTACCGCAAGAAAGGCAATGACTTTATTGGAAAGACACACCATGACAATAATGAGGTACCGGGGGATCCAACAGGGTGCTGATTGGCCATCTGTCCACGCGGGAAACCGCTTATAAGCTCCGCCATTGGAAGGCGCATGGAAAAGTCTTGAGACGGGATTGAAGAGTGCGGCGTCTACAGCTCAGTCCGCTCACCAAGAGGGTTCGGTTCGGTTCGGTTCGGTTCGGTTCGGTTCGGACTGCGCCTCGCTCTTCAGTACGGCTGCCAGCGAGGCTCTGGAGAGCGCAATGATGTTCCACCAGCGTCAGGTGCTTTTTCTCGCCTTCGTGTGCTGCCTCTGCACCTTGTCATTAAGTTCAGGTAAGACATTCAAATATACTGTCATATTTTTCGCGGAAAGCTGGTGTCGCAGGTAATAACTTTTATTTTTTAGTTGTTCTGAAAAGTACAACGCAAGCATTTTTTTTCCCCAACGTTAATTTTATCCAAGACTTCGATCTCGTTTTGTGGATGGATGAGGGCACAAAGAATTTAACTCTATAATAAACATTTCTAAAACTTAAAAGGACGATATATACAAATAAAGACCATGAAGACACGGGAAAAGCCAGCTAAGTCTCCGTGCACACAAAATAATTGCATGGCCCGTTTTTATATATATAGTACAGATGACTGCTCTTGGTGCGTGACATCTGGAAGGTTTTGTAGCTGTTCTACAACACTTTGTGTTCAGTAACAGTATTGGTGTTTTTGTTCTGGAGGCACTGATATTGGCGTAAGAAACACAATTTTTTTTATCGCGCAGACTTTCCATCAGTGCACGGGAAAGGTCTGCGCGTTGTACTGGCTCAGCTCGACTCTCTCAAGGCTCGATCCGTATGCTGCTCGGGCGCAGGGCGAAGTGTCGGCTGTCCTTCTGAAATCTCCTCGGAATGAGGAGGGCTAGGCCAGACTGGACAGTACGCCCTTGCGCATGTTGGTATCGTACATTTGAGAAGATCCACTAAGCCATCAATGGAGATGAGAGTTCAGGATTTCACACACATAAAAATCAGACTGATTTCTCCTGAGTGGCTTATCATGCGTTTTGTTTTCACTGTAATTTGACAGCGCTACCAAAGTTTTAGCTAAAAAATCCCTCTTAGTACGTTCTAGTTTTATTTATGCCTTTGCCTTTCACTTTTGTTCACGTACTGTTTCCCTCTTCATGCACTTTCTCTAGGTTCGCCTCCACTGTCCGTGGCCTGCCCTGAGCGCCCTGCTTTGAGCAAGGTAGAGTCTGCTCCGCAGCCGCTTGCGACTTTTGTGCTCTCTAAAGGAAGACCGTTTTCGCGAAAAACGCCACAGTGCTGACTGAAATTGGTTTCGGATGTGGACGCTTTCAAACGTCACACGGGTGGCAAAACTGATTGTTCAGAGCATTTTTGCAAAAAAGGTGTCTTGAGGTCATAGGAGACGTACTAAGGGGACAGATGCTGGGGTAGGTTCTGTCCCCAGAAGCTAATGCACTGGTGCAACACAGACAGAAAATACAGGCTGGATATCTTTAAGTGACGGTTAACCTTACAGTATGAATGGCTTTTCGGTCCTTTTCATTCTTCTTTTCTTCATGGAAACCTGGTATGTTTTAGCTTGGTCCATTTTCAGAGACCTTCTCAGCCGGTTCAGTGATACTGACAGAGGCCTCTGCAGGACAAGTGGGGGTTCCTGTGAGGAGGCTGCTCGCCCTGTCCAGCTTGCTGGGTTGCTCATGCCTCAGTTGCCTGTTCCAGTCTCCCACCACTCTTTGTGTGAGGGAGCACGTTTTACTGTCTCGGTTACACCTCTCTCCTCTGCTTCACACATTGCTAGCTCTGAAGTAGCCATCGGCTTGACTTTGTCAATGCACTTTGAGTGATTTGAATACTTGAGTCAGGTCCCTCCCGTCTCCTCCTCCAGTTCCTTGCTCTATTAGTGTAAGCAGGTATTCCTGTAAGCCCAGGTATTTTTCTGATTTTCCTTCCCGGTAGACATTCCAGAGCAGCCCTCGTTTCTGAAACTATTGTTCACCCGAGCCGAGTACATAGCTGTGATTCCATCTGAGAAGAGCCGCGTTATCTTAAGGCTCTCGCGTGCCCTTCACTGTTATCATCTTCATCTTGGTGTTATTATGAGGCTCTTGGCTGTACTCCTCCTGCTCTCATCCTTGCATCATCTGCGGCACGAGGATCAGAAAGAAAATGTTCAGCGGGTTGAACAGATGATTGGTGTCCTGAGGGTGAGGACAGGTGGGCTTGAAGAGAGAGCGGGAGACCTCCTCACTCTGGGGCAATGGAGTGGTGCTCCACAGGTGATCAGTGACTCACGCACCAGCCCAATCACCGATCCTAACACTCTGCTCCCTGAGGTTTTCAGGGAGAAATGGTATTTCTGCAGGGACACATTTCCTCCTTTTCCTAGCAGTTAATAACTCCATAGCTCCCTTTGCTGTGTCAGAGCTTAAAACCTTTTTAAGATGTGAAGAGGTCTGGGTTTTCATGCGGCTTTTCTTTTTGTTTTCTGGGTGAAAAAGTGAAGCGATCCCTATAGACCGGGCCCCTTCATTGCTCAGCTCTGGTTCTGTGGTTTGGACCCCATTGTATTACATCTCATCATTCAACATGTTCTGCTTAGTCAGGTCGTATCGACGGGGAGTAATCTGAATTTATTTTTGGTTTTAGATCCCCCTCTTGCTGAAAAGCCTCTGTGGAGTGGAGTTTGAAAACCCTAATGAGGTACAAGGGAAATCGTTTCCTTTTAACAATCCTGCTAATGTCTGAAGACGACCATGACATTCTAACACGGACGTTTTCCCTTTATTTTAGGGCCAGATTCAAGATGTGTACAAAAGGGTAAGTTCCACATTATTTCTGCAATGAACTTGGTACTTTGGAAGGCGTCACCTATTTACTGTTTACCTCTTGTCTTTTAGTTCCTTTTTCATTATTCCAAATCTCGAGATCCAAGTCAGGAAATACAAACCCAGGTAAGGAAAACACGAGTGTTGGTGAAAGGTGTCTCTGATTTGGTTTTCTTTCAGCCTTAAGTCCATTTAAAGCAGTTGCTGAAGTCTGACTTTTTTTTTTGCTTCTAGTCCCATCCTGTCCATCCTTTAATGCGACTTGCTCCAAAACTCTCAGAGAGGACAAAGAAGCAGATTCTTCATCCGGTATGAGCGATTTTCCCCCAGTCTTTGATTTTAAGGCATTGTATCATCTTTGAAAGGTGTTATTAATGTTAGTAGATGTGATGTGAGCCGACACGGTGGTGTAGAGGACAGCACTGCCACCCAGACCTGGGGTGCCATCTGTATGGAGTCTGCATGTTCTTCCTGTGTTTATGTGAGCTTCCCCTTACAAAGACATACTGGGAGGTCAATTGACTTTTGGGAAAATGTCTGTTTGAATCTGTGTATGTCCTGCAATGGATTGGCGTCCTGTCCAGGGAGAACCCTGCTTTGTGCCCTGTTGCATGCTGGGATAGATTCCAGCTCTCCTGTGATCCTGAATTAAGAGAAGTGGTTAGAAACTGCATGGCTGGATACATGATGAGAACAGGTGGTGCCTCGTTATTCTCTGTTACTTGGAGTAAGACATGATGCTCAGCATTTTGTGTTCCTGATAACTGTTTTAACTTGACCGCCAATAAAATCATCAATCAAATCAAAAGCCTGTTACTCTATCCATAGTGTTAGAAAAATAGTCTACAGGTTTTGACTTTATTGCATCATGTCATCAGTGAGCAGAGGACCGTTTTAACGTATCGAATCACATGCCAATGAAAATGAAAAAAAGGAATCAAATTAGCCCTGCTTATCAAGAGACCAACGCTTTTGTGCCATTGCTATGTTAGAGGATGGAAAAAAAGCCACCTGAGGTGAGATGGCTATTAGCGGAGCCTAGTCCTCTTTGATGAGCCGAGGTTTAGAGTAGACCACGCTGATGGAAGTTGAGAGCATAGGACATGAGTAACGCTATGCCAATTGTGGACAATGGCAGATGGTGGGGAGGTCCATGTGTTCTGGTCCGGAGTGCAGGGGTGGTACAGAACTCCCCTAGTCAGGCTGCCATCAGCCAGTTCTATAGTGCCCTACAGTATACAGTATTCCTGCACCGCCAGGGGGCTCATTCTGACACGACCACCTGCCGGCAAGACTGCAATACAGGTCCTCATGCTGCTTGTGTAAGGGTGACGTGGCGAGAATAGGAATATTAGTGTCCTTCTTGTCAGACTTCAGCTCCACTGAATATCTGCCGCAGCAGCTGAGCCAGCGTGTGGTGCCCAGGGCTCAAGCTCCGGGGAACAGCCACATGCTTGAGCAGGCTCTAGCAGGGAACCCATTAATATTCTCTTCAGTGTGCAGAGCACATCCAAAAACTGTTAACAACTGTAAAATGGTCAATGGCCACAGTGCAGAGATACATCTGTCTTTATTTGGCACTTGGACTGAAAAATGTATTTTCCTCCTCTCTCTCTCTCACTCTAGCTGCAGGTCATTTTCTTGAATCCCTTGCAAGAAAGAAAACACCAGCCTGAATTCTTCCTTAGAAATTTGTAAATACTATAACGGAACTAAAATTGTACAGAAATTACAACAATCCCATAATCCCAAAACAATTCCTTTTTAAAAAAACGTTTAATTTCTATCGATTTACAATGCCAACTGTGATACGTGTTGAAAAAAATAAAAGAATGAAAATGGTACTGTTTCCTTCCATGAAAAGTAAAATGAAGCTTACAGGTCTACGGCACCATTGCTCTTAAACATTAAAAGCCTTTCTGCAATGTTTGTGATGCTACATGATGACAAAGTATTACCAGGTTTTCTAATCATTAAATGACAACAGCTACAGTATACATACCTATGCCAGCTTAATCTGAAGTGACTGCCAGCAGACTGCTCTACGGTCAAGTGGAAAAACTCTGGAACAACAAGGATCTACCCAGGGATGAAGGTAATGTATTTGGCAAAACATTTTGTAGAAAGGGAAATCAATTATTTCTGTTGCTCATTCTTCTATAATAAGAAGGGTAAATATAAATAAATTTAAACAAACCTACAGCATGAAAAAGAAAAGCCTGGATTAAACAATTGTGCACGGTGCAATTTTGTACTTAATGTGGCTTCCGTCAGCACCACTGTGCAAATGTCTTTACCAATTTGGATGAGTTAATGGCATCATGCGTGTGATCACTGTCCCCTCATGATAGTGCCTGGATGTTTCTGCAAACTGTTTTGTTAAATTGCACATATTGATTGCTTTACTATTACACTGCATTTTTTCTTTGTAACACAAATGTCACTTTCAATCCATTCCAGTATATATGTTGCACACCGGTAAAACAAATGGGTTCACTTTTAAAACGTAACTTCTGCTTTTACCTTTAAAAGGTCTTGCAGTTGTATATTTTTTTTCTTAGTGACACTACAGCAGTTTGTATTTATAATTCGTCACCCTTAGGTTTCAAAAACGTTGACTTAATTCATAAGAAATTGCTACAATTTGCTGTTTTATATGGAGTTACAATTGCAGTTTAATACCTTCTCAAAAAAAAAAAAAAAACATACCAGTGAGTGAGACGATACTATATTTGGTTAAATAGAACACACACTGTCTACCTCCCTCCTCTATTTTAAAATTAATTGCCTACAAATAGGTTTAAAAAAAGCAGAATTTTCCAAATAGTTTTAGTAGCAATTTTCGTAGGTTTGGGGTGGCACATGTCTATCAGTTCTCACAGCTCTTCAGTCCTCCAAGCAAGAGGCGATTTCATCTCGGAGAGGACAGTGGGAACAGCCTCTCTGTGGACAAATAAGCCAGTGTAGAGAGAGACATCCCTGTGACACAGGCCACTGCCACAGGCCACTGCCACACCAGACAGACAAGGAAATAATGCACTACATTTCATCACTCAATCAGGAGTAAAACACAGATCGGGGCCCGTAACATTGTAAGACGTTTCAATCATCGTCCGAGTCGCCGTCCTTTTGTGTGGGGAGAGAGCATCTGATCGACGACATCAACTTGTCCTCGATTTGTTTTCGAGGATTTTCTTCCAAATCCGTCTTGACGGCCCCGGGCTCCGCGAGCATCCACTCCAGCTCTTCAGAAAGATCAATTAAAACAAAACACGGGTTTTAACAACACAGGGCTCAGCCTCGGCCTTCCGAAACACTTCCTCTTCACGCTGGGACATCTGCTCCACTGAGAACCTCTGTGGGAGTGAGGCTCGTAGTGTGCGATTTGCGACTCACATTAGTGGAGACTCATTATCCACTGCAATTGATTTGTTAAATCTACTGATTTACTGTGGCTTGGGAAGCGGTTTTTCTTTAATTAGTCTTGTACAAACAAACCATGTGACTTTGTCATGAAATACAATAATTAAAATCCCGAATGCCTTAACAACTAAGCTGTCTATTACAATGACACAGGGGCACCTCATACAATCAAACAGTAGTTAGCACAGTTAATTCAGTCAGACACACGTTCACACACATAACACTTTAGAGCACAGGTCTCGAACGCGATTCCTAGCCTGCCTAAAGCCAGAGCGCAGTCAATTAAACTATTAACCTTATTATCTGTAGATGTACAGAGCCCTCCAAAAGTACAGTATTAGGAGAGCATATTCAAAACTAACAGGTTTTTATTACTGTTAAATTGGATTTGTTGTGTGATGAATATAAACACAACATACATTTCCCAAAAGATTTTATGAATACTTATAATAGTCAGAAAAAAGTGCTTTTGTGTCTAAGCTAGTCATTTTAAGTGATTAGAAGTATTCTGACATATTCACTGTAGGTCAATTTCAGTGTAAAAGGCAGAACGTGGTTGCATATTGCACGTTGCTGAACACTCTGTGCAATCATTCGAGATCCTCTGCTGCTGCAACTTTGAGATCTTCTCTAGTCTTTGGGTGCTCCAACCCTCAGTCTCGGCTTCCGCCTGTGAACTGCACCCTCATGTTGATTTAACTTGCCCTTATGTTCAGGGTCATAGTCGTACGGTACTGGGAAGCACTGTCCCATAAGAATGAAACCCGTTTCTCCTGCACGAGCAAGAAAAATGATTTTGTTTGCTTCAGAGCTCATCCTGCCGTTGCCATCGTCAGACAAGCGAGTCTGCTCCATAGGTGGCCATTACGTTCCTTACGAAAAGCAATCTCCAACGTGTTCAGGAGCTGAAAACACTTCAAGAGTCCAGACCAGTCCTATTATTGGGTCAATTAAGGGTTCAGTTAACTTAACTGGGAGCTCACTGGGAACAAAAACCAGCACGTGTGGGTCCACAGGACAGGGCTGTGAACCCCCGATGTAGACGACAGTGTAGAAACACACAAGTTAGCAGACTGGGAGGAACTGGGGCTTCTCTTTCTTCAGGAATTTTTCATGAACTTCACCAGGCGTTGTGTGAACAATTGCCATAAGAACCACAGACTATACTCAGGCATTACTGATAACGCAGAAGACGGATAAACCTTATGACATAAAACATAACTTACCTTCTACTTTTAAATTCATGCCACCAAAGAGCAGTGGCCCAATAAACTGTGCTTTCATTTCACCTTCCAAGTACACAAATATAGTCGGCAGATTCCTGTCAGGGTAGTTTGGTATGCAGGTTGTCGAGATTGACTTGAGGAATTTCGTCTGTGGGAATTTTCTTGCTAGTACAGTGAGGTGCTGATTTATCAGAGAGCAGAGAGGGATGCTGAAAAAAAACAAACATGTATAGGAAGAGGACAGAGATTACAAAAGGATTACCTTTTAAATAAAAAAAATGATTTATACTGTAAGTTACACAAAAACAAAGATTTTAGGAGCTCATACTCTAGACTTAACACAGTACACCCACACTGAACGAGGGCTAAGGCTTCTCTGGGTTAAAGCTCAGGGCTATGGCACTAACGTACCCTTATATCCCCCAGTCCTTGTAGCTAAAGTTTTTTCACCGTATACAACCAGAAAACCAATATCAATTTGATCACACAAATACTTAAATCTCCCACTAAATTGGAGTCTCATAACCTGAAAAGAAATAGGTCTGTAAAAAGACCTGTGAAAGCCAAATAGGTTTAGAATTTCTGCAATCCAGCAAGGATCTGGGGTCTCTTTAAATCATCAAAAGTTTAAGACTAGTAGAGGAGTTAAATGTGTGCAATTAAACATTAATTGGACTAGTTCAATCTATCAGGCAGGGTAAAGATGTTAACCACTTAAAGAGAAGTAGAGATTTGATGCATTGTAGACACGAAGACCTAGACACCATTTTTTTTTCAGGGTCCACTAAATAACTTTAAAAGAATTACTCTTTACTCATGGAAATAAATTCTCAGTTAATGGAATCGGTGAAGAGTAACACTGAACTTACCCCTGTTTGTACAGATGTAACACAACCCAAATTCCTTGGCCAGCTTTGTTCACTTCTTCTATATAATCCTGTCCAGATATTTCCTTTACCTCTCCAAAAACATTTTTCATCTGATTAGCCTTCCACTCGGCTAGTCTTTTCTGCCTGAAAATTTACAAATAAAAAAAAAAATCAGAATTATTAGACAAAATGAATCTAGTCAAGACTCATGCAAAAAGAAAGTACAAAACTGTAAACTAAGACAACAGTCTACACAAATCCTAAAGGAGGCTGATGCAGCCATGTACGGACCCACAGAAATCACAGGCAATTCGTGACAGTGTGAAACTGCAGTTCTGCCCTTCATGAAGGGTTGAGGGAGTCTGAAACGCGCTACCGAACCATGCTGTTGAAGCAGATTCCCTAGCATCTCTCAAGCACCACCTGAATGAGATTAATAATCTACTAGCAACCAATTAAACTACATGAGCCATGTGGTCTCCGACAGTATATAACCTTCAACTGGGTGCATGAGCCATCGAGACCTGTAGGCTTAGACTCTTAAGGCTGCTGCTGACCAGGTTAAATCGACTAACCTGTACATCTCCATGGCCCGCTCATCCTCCTCACTGAACTCGTCCTCATTCTCATGCAGCTCATCCAGCGTCATTTCCTCATACGTCTTCACTGCGAATCAAAAGACAAAAGACGAACACATTTTGACCCATGTAACTCAATGATATGCAAGATATCAGATACATGTTGTAAACTACACTTCAAGCATAGTGGGTTTACCAAATCATACATTTAATTAAAAAATGCACTTATTCAACACTGGTGCAGCAGATAAGTAAATGTATCCTGAGCCTGAGCACCCTGCTTGTGATCAGCTAGAGCATTTCAAAAGGTAGTGATGTATCTACAGCCAAGCGTGTATCCTACCCCACAGCTGCTGGCATAAAAGCCAAGCAGGCATTTTAGCCTTGAGGCAGGATCAGCTCGTCCAAAAAGCTGACATTGGAAACCGCAGACACCACTTAGCTCAAACCCAGTGCGATGTACTCCTGCAACCAGGAAAGCAGGCTATACAGTCCCCAACAAAGCAAGACAAGACATCCCAGCATGGGATACACCAGCAGCTACACCACCCTGCAGTTTACCACTGACAGCCCACTGGAGCTCAGCAGGTGTGAGCCTGGCCAGTACCTGGATGAGAGACCTCCTGGGAAAAACTAAGGCTTCTGCTGGAAGAGCTGTTAGTGGAGCCAGTAGGGGGCGCTCACCCTGTGGTCTGTGTGGATCCCAATGCCCCAGTATAGCAATGAAGACACTATACTGTAAAGAGGCACTGTCCCTTGGATGAGACATAAAATTGAGGTTCTGACTTTCTATGGTCATTAAAAACAGTTATCCCTGTGTCCTAAATATGCCCCTTGGCCTTAACCAATCATGGCCTCCCAATAATCCCCATCTGTGAACTGGCTTCACCACTCTGCTCTCCTCCCCTATGAGAGCTGGTGTGTGGGGAGTGGACTGGTGCACTTTGGCTGCTGTTGTATCATCCAGGTGGGGCTGCACATTGGTGGTGGTGGAGGGGATCCCCAGTCCCTGTAAAGCACTTTGAATCGAGTGTCCAGAAAAGAGCTATATAAGTGTAAGCAATTATTAAGATTATCGCATATAAAACAAAGAGAAGGTGCCCAGACTGGAAGACCTAAACACTGCACAAGGACAAGGCTACTTTAAAGAAAGACCTCACCTACGGACTGCTGTATAACCTGCTGCTCCTCCTCCTCCTCGTCGTCTGGTTTCTCTTTGGGCGGCAGGATGCCTTTCCTTCGCAGGATGTCATTCCACTCCGTATCCGCGTTTGGGTCCTTAAGAAAAACTTCAACAGCTCTAATTCACCGGACAATGTATGAACGGGCCCTTTTAATTTTTTTTTGGTTTGGTCACTAGGTATCCGCAGATGCCAGATAACGCACCCAAGTTACATCAAGTACGTTGACTGCTGTAGTTAGTTAACATAACACCACATGCAGCCGATGTCAGAATTGAAACGCAATTCTTCCATTTAGCTAATGACAAGGTAATTTCAAATGCTACAACATCTCCTAATGCTACACATATACAATGAAGTTAGGACGAACCACTTCATCTTTTCTAAATCTTGACTTCGGACTCTTCCAATCTTCTGTATCAGATTCGTCATACTATAACTAGCCAAGACCATCTTCCCTCATTTTTGTACCTCAACAAAATGAAGCAAGGATATTTCTTTATTACTGTACGTACCTGCATTTTTCTCCCTTTTAACAGTTCCGAATGAACTCACGTTGTTGCTGCGCCCAGATAAAGAGGAAGCTAAATGGCGTCAAATAAAACCTCCCCCCACAGCAAATGAGGTTTTCGGTTCTTTAGTTCCTACTAGAAAATCCAGATATATTTGCGTTTACTTTTTTATAAATTAATAGGAATAATAAAACCTAAGCAGTTGTGATCATGGATAACTGCCCCTTTAAAAGCTCCAAAGAAGCTGTTATTTCACCTGTGTGGGACAAATAAGCAGTGTTTGTGCGGACAATTATAAATGTGGCACCAATTTCCTGTGTGTCGCCTCACTATGTCCATATTAGGTGAAAGAGCTGTGTTTTCCTTATGAGGTAACCATAGCTTTTACGACGTCTAACAGGAGGAGACAGGAGACAACAGCTGTAAATATATCTCACACAATGGTGTGCAGCTTTCCCCGTCATTCTTGTCGGGGTAAAGATAAATTAATCCCTAAATTACTGTAAGCCAAATGATCTTATCCGAGTCCAATAACATTTTCGTCTCGGTGTTTATCGTATTCTGATTTATTATTCACGTATTAGAGTATTCCAGTTGTATTCTAGTGTAACTGTTATGAACAATGTCGTTACACATGAAGGCAGAATACTTTCTAGTTTTCTTTTTTTGTTGTTTAATTCCTCTGATGGTTTGAGGCACAGGTTTTCTATTAAGTTCGTCCTGGGATTCATCTCTGGAAACTACTGTACATGTGATCATTCAGGGGTAAAGGAAATGCAACGAGTAATGTTTTAGAATGTTTTAAACTACAAAATTTAGTTAGGAAAATTCATTTAACGCTGTAAAAATGTAGTGCCCTTAAGATAAGAGATTTCTGCGAGTGGATGGATGCATTATTAATCCTTAGAAATCTTGCTGAGCTACTCATGACTGGATAAACAACGTGCATTTGAACGGCCAAGTGAAAATGTATTGCCTCCCACAGTTATTACTTTCCCCAAGATGTTAGGTGAAGGAGTTAACGACCAGATAAACACGATGAGAAACATACTGTTCTCA